GGGGTGGTGTTAAAGGATGTGGGATTAGTGAAAAACACAGGGATTTGAAATATGGTTGTCGTTTTAGCTAGCTATAATATCCACTGGAGTGAAACTGATTCAGGATTTTAATATATGTGTGTATATATATATATATATACATATATATATATATGTATATGTAATTGGGCAGGGGACGAAGGATCTGCTATGGTTTCTGGGTATTTTCACATGGTCAAGATGGGCAGCAACAGTGGTTCTGTTTGGCCTGTGTGCTACAATCTGGTAATAATTGACTGATAGATGTCATATTTTTGACTCTATGTGATCAGTCCTCATCAGTACTGAGGATGACTCGACCCTACACTCAACGGCTGTAATTAAATCAGGAAAGGGATACCCACAAAGGTCCCCATCAGAGTTTCTTCTCAAACCAAGCTTGGACAAGCCTTGCCAAGCCATGTTGTGACTTAAATCATGTGCATTGTCTTAATGGACCATTCACCTATTATATCTTCCAGATATTTTTTTATTATTAAAAATATCATTGACACTTTTTTATTTTATATTTAAATATTATTGACACTTCCTATCATTAAACCACTATTTTTAACCAAAAAAAATAATGTTATTGAGACATAATTTATTGATCTAATTCACTATAACATTTGAATTTACTGTGGACTCTATCAAACATTGAATATGGTGTTGATCTAATGGTTCCACTTAATCTACATTATTATGTCAACAAATTATGTCAAATTTTTACGTTCAAATAGCATTACATAAAAAAAAATTAATCTCAAATATCAAAAATGCTCCTACATAAATTCCAAACAAACTTTTCTACATAAAATTCAATCAAAATTTTAGTCAATTAAAATATATTTTTCTACATATTAAAATTCGAGTTGGTTAAAATTTATCTTTCTATATATTAAAATTTGAGTCAATTAAAATTTGATTCGATCTGATTAAATTTTATTTTTTTTGCGTACTAAAATTCGAGCCTATTAAAATTCTTTTTTTACGTATTAAAATTTGAATCGATTTGAGCTCTACCCGAATTGTTAGCATCGATTAAAATTTGCTTCAAGTCAATTAAAATTTATATTTTTTTATTTATTAAAATTTGTGTCAATTAAAATTTGAGTCAATTAAAATTTATATTTTTTTATAAATTAAAATTTGGGCTGATTAAAATTCAATGCAAAATGATTAAAATTTGACATAAGCCGATTGATTTTTAATCAACTCAAATAGAATTTTAATCGGCTCAAATTTTAATACGTAAAAAAATATAATTTTTAATCAACTCGAATTTTAATACGTAAAAATAAATTTTAATTAGCTTGAATTGTATTTTAATCAGCCCAAATTTTAATACGTAAAAAATTTAGAAAATATAGGGGGTCCCATTGAAGATATGCTTGTTTAAAGGGGGTTTGAATAAAGTTTGTCCTTAAATATATCATGAACAATTTAATAAAATTATATTATAGTTAACATTTTTAATCTAACAAGGGTGCTAGTAAAAATTCAAAAATAGAGAAAGTGTGATTGAAATTTTTTCTTTTTTTTTTCTTTTGTTCAACGGTTATGATGTCTGACCACCACTTTGATTAATTTTCTCTTTCATCCAGTCAAAGACAAGTTATTCAAGCGAGAAGTAGAATATTCATAATACTTGACCTTAATGAGTTATCAAGATTCAAACTCATGACGTCTGCCTTTATAACTTGTCTCAGTTTTTACTTGAGTTGCCCATTGGGGTTAGTATTCAACTATTCACCTATTCAAAATGTCAAGTTGGGGTTTGAGTTTGAAAATTCATCTCTTTAAAATAAAGACCAGGATGTTCATAAATTACTAATCCAAAATTCCTAGGAATTTATATATTAAAATTATACACTCAACTACAGTATAAACACAAGCATAAACAGGAGACTTGTGCATTTGATACTATCTTTTTTTTTTTTATTGAAATTAACTAATTTGCTAGTAGTTGATTCCAAAAGCTTCACTTTTTCAAATTTTCAATCTCTAAACTTAATTTCAGATGATTAAAGACCAGGCACATGTCTCAATGGACTATGCTTTGCAACTATCAGTTATCAAGAACCCTCCCTGCCCCAGAGAAGCATTCAAGAAAAGGATAGCTCCTAGTGACCAGTTCAGTCTCTTTGTACCTTGTCTGTGTGTGAAAGAAATTGACCTCATCTGAAACGAGGACAGTGACCCAACTTGAGATTAGGGTTCACAATTCATCAATTGGACAAAACCATCTACGCCAATACATCGAATATATATATATATATATAACGTTCATAGATTTGGTTAAAACTAATTTAACTGGTTAAAACTCACTAAAAGAATTGTCTATACGAATCCGACTATAAATGACACGAGCTCTATGCAAAAATATAATTGGGTCGGGTATGATTGAATAAGATTCTGACCGATCTGAATTTAAATTCAATTTTTAGAAGTTTGATTTGAATCTGATATGATAATTTGATGATTTTTTTTTTTTTGTGATCTACATTCAAATCCGTTAATAATTTGAAATCTTGATCTGAACAATTAATTAACTAAATTTCTTTAAATATTTATATAAAAATATATAAAATAATTCAAATCAGATCATAATTGAATTAGATATAAGTATCTCCAAATTCAAATTTGTTAAATATAAGATACTAAAATCATATTCAAGTTCAAATTATTGTTCATATCCAACTAATTAAATTCAAATTTTGATGAACATACAATCTATTGAAACCTACCCTACCCACAATGAAGGCAGTTGAATCGTTGCACCTACTAGTAGGTCATACTGAATTTAAGGTGGCAGAGGAATTTAATGTTTCCTGCAAAAGTGTTTGTGATGTGACCACATGACACTCTTGTTTGGGAGCTTCCAAGAACTTCGTTGACATGGCGGGATATCTGCCAAACGACACACAGAGGAGCCATTAAAGTTAAGCACGACTAGCATTTTAGTTTCCATGTGAGACCGGTCCACGCACCTGTTCATATGCTACTTATACAAACAACCACCGCGAAGCAAGTAAAAACTATGATACTTACCTGTAATCAACCCTCGGTTCAACATGATGTGACATTTTCCGTTTTGAATTACAACCGACAAAAAAATAAAACACATTGATCTTTGTAGTAAGTATTCTAGTCCAAAGTTCATAGCAGCAATGTGTATGCGTCTTGGTCTCTTGAGGCACCGATTGCATTTGCTGCTCTCTCTCTCTCTCCCTGCCAAAAACTTAGCCGTGGCACAACTGAACCACAACTTACAGAGCTACATAATAAAGGGATTATGCACATTGCTAACAAGAAAAATTCACCTAGGCAAACTCAAAAAGGTTACAAAGACTAACAAATTACCCACAATAACAAACCTGCTACAGAATAAATATTCAATGCAGTGGCAATACCGCATCACTATTAGTATGTGATATCATCCACCAATAATAAAACAAATAAAGACATAGTAAACTATTGTACATAGTATTTCCTCTTGCTCCAGGTGGCACCTTCTTTAATAAGTGTACCGTTTCTGTTGCATCAAGCACTGGAACCAATGAATGCACCTTACATGTAACACAGTTCAAATCAATAGATGGTTTACTCAATACAGGCATATGCTTACAGACACCATCATCTTCATATTCACCATTGAAAGCCAGATCCGCGAGTCGCATTCCGACTGACAGTGATACTAGTGTTTCAATGGTCACAGATTTTGCCAAATGAAATCGAACAGAGCATCAAGCTTTATTACCAATGCCAGTGATTAAATGGACAATTATTGCTGTGGTAAGTCCTAGCAACCCACCTGCAACAACCTGCAAATACATATGGAAAATTCAGAAAGGAAAAGGCGATTTTTGCAAACAAAAAATGCAATCCAGTTTTCAACAAGTTTATATAGTTTTAGTTAAAAGGAGTTTCCAACTGGCAGGCTGTTATGATATTTATGACTAGAGGCAAGTCAAAGGAAAAGAAGAAACAGCTTCAAAAACCTTACAAAAAATATGATAACAAAATTTCAGAAGAAAGAAGTATACTTTTTTTCAGATGAAAGAAGTATACTTTTTTAGGCAAAGAAGGAAACAGAAAGATTAGTCCAATAAAGAAACAACAGCGAATAAAAGCACCAGAATAATATGTGAGATATCATTTCCCAAAATGCCTTATTTTAAGGTGGAAAAGTGTCAATATAGTATTCNCAGAAAGATTAGTCCAATAAAGAAACAACAGCGAATAAAAGCACCAGAATAATATGCAAGATATCATTTCCCAAAATGCCTTATTTTAAGGTGGAAAAGTGTCAATATAGTATTCGAGATGTATCGTAAGTTCAGAATGACTAGTGGGGTTCCATATTAGCTTCTAAATTTATTTCAACCAATCAAAATAATACACCATAATATCTTTAAAAATAAAATGATACTAACAATAACGATTACTAGTTAGGGATATTAAAATATGACATTAATCATTAACATGACATGAAATTAGAGGATTTGAGTCTTTTTTAAGTTACTAGTTTCGTAAATGAATAGACCTGATACAACATGACTTTGAAACTAATAAAAAAATACACTATACGATTCGTTTATATACTGATTATACACGANGTATCAAAATATGACATTAATCATTAACATGACATGAAATTAGAGGATTTGAGTCTTTTTTAAGTTACTAGTTTTGTAAACGAATAGACCTGATACAACATGACTTTGAAACTAATAAAAAAATACACTATACGATTCGTTTATATACTGATTATACACGATTCACATACGAATTCAATATACCAAGATTCGTTAGACGTGAATTAATAAACGAATCAAATATGAGTGAAGTGCCCTTTACATGTACCCGCTAAGACCCNTCGTTTATATACTGATTATACACGATTCACATACGAATTCAATATACCACGATTCGTTAGACGTGAATTAATAAACGAATCAAATATGAGTGAAGTGCCCTTTACATGTACCCGCTAAGACCCGATACAAATCTGTCTCATCCGACATGATTAACAAGTGTATTCCTTGTGAACAATACAATTATATCTAATGCATTGAAACAAACCTGGGGAGGGGTGTGGCCAAGAAGTTCACGCAGTGGTCTGATCTCAGCCAGAGGATGTTCAGCAGGAAGTTCATATACAATCTGGTTCAAAACCTGAGAAATTCTCCATCATAGATAAATAAATAAATTAAATCCAGAGAGTTCNTAGGGTTCACAATTCATCAATTGGACAAAACCATCTACGCCAATACATCGAATATTATATATATATAACGTTCATAAATTTGGTTAAAATTAATTTAACTGGTTAAAACTCACTTAAGGAATTGTCTATACGAATCCAACTATAAATGACACGAGCTCTATGCAGAAATATAATTGGGTCGGGTATGATTGAATAAGACTCTGACGGATTTGAATTTAAATTCAATTTTCTTAAGTTTGATTTGAATCTGATATGATAATTTGATGATTTTTTTTTTTTTGTGATCTACATTCAAATCCGTTAATAATTTGAAATCTTGATCTGAACAATTAATTAACTAAATTTCTTTAAATATTTATATAAAAACATATAAAATAATTCAAATCAGATCATAATTGAATTAGATATAAGTATCTCCAAATTCAAATTTGTTAAATATAAGATACTAAAATCATATTCAAGTTCAAATTATTGTTCATACCCGACTAATTAAATTCAAATTTTGATGAACATACAATCTATTGAAACCTACCCTACCCACAATGAAGGCAGTTGAATCGTTGCACCTACTAGTAGGTCATACTGAATTTAAGGTGGCAGAGGAATTTAATGTTTCTTGCAAAAGTGTTTGTGATGTGACCAAATGACACTCTTGTTTGGGAGCTTCCAAGAACTTCGTTGACATGGCGGGATATCTGCCAAACGACACACAGAGGAGCCATTAAAGTTAAGCACGACTAGCATTTTAGTTTCCATGTGAGACCGGTCCACGCACCTGTTCATATGCTACTTATACAAACAACCACCGCGAAGCAAGTAAAACTATGATACTTACCTGTAATCAACCCTCGGTTCAACATGATGTGATATTTTCCGTTTTGAATTACAACCGACAAAAAAATAAAACACATTGATCTTTGTAGTAAGTATTCTAGTCCAAAGTTCATAGCAGCAATGTGTATGCATGCGTCTTGGTCTCTTGAGGCACCGATTGCATTTGCTGCTCTCTCTCTCTCCCTGCCAAAAACTTAGCCGTGGCACAACTGAACCACAACTTACAGAGCTACATAATAAAGGGATTATGCACATTGCTAACAAGAAAAATTCACCTAGGCAAACTCAAAAAGGTTACAAAGACTAACAAATTACCCACAATAACAAACCTGCTACAGAATAAATATTCAATGCAGTGGCAATACCGCATCACTATTAGTATGTGATATCATCCACCAATAATAAAACAAATAAAGACATAGTAAACTATTGTACATAGTATTTCCTCTTGCTCCAGGTGGCACCTTCTTTAATAAGTGTACCGTTTCTGCTGCATCAAGCACTGGAACCAATGAATGCACCTTACATGTAACACAGTTCAAATCAATAGATGGTTTACTCAATACAGGCATATGCTTACAGACACCATCATCTTCATATTCACCATTGAAAGCCAGATCCGCGAGTCGCATTCCGACTGACAGTGATACTAGTGTTTCAATGGTCACAGATTTTGCCAAATGAAATCGAACAGAGCATCAAGCTTTATTACCAATGCCAGTGATTAAATGGACAATTATTGCTGTGGTAAGTCCTAGCAACCCACCTGCAACAACCTGCAAATACATATGGAAAATTCATAAAGGAAAAGGCGATTTTTGCAAACAAAAAATGCAATCCAGTTTTCAACAAGTTTATATAGTTTTAGTTAAAAGGAGTTTCCAACTGGCAGGCTGTTATGATATTTATGACTAGAGGCAAGTCAAAGGAAAAGAAGAAACAGCTTCAAAAACCTTACAAAAAATATGATAACAAAATTTCAGAAGAAAGAAGTATACTTTTTTTCAGATGAAAGAAGTATACTTTTTTAGGCAAAGAAGGAAAAAGAAAGATTAGTCCAATAAAGAAACAACAGCGAATAAAAGCACCAGAATAATATGTGAGATATCATTTCCCAAAATGCCTTATTTTAAGGTGGAAAAGTGTCAATATAGTATTCGAGATGTATCGTAAGTTCAGAATGACTAGTGGGGTTCCATATTAGCTTCTAAATTTATTTCAACCAATCAAAATAATACACCATAATATCTTTAAAAATAAAATGATACTAACAATAACGATTACTAGTTAGGGATATTAAAATATGACATTAATCATTAACATGACATGAAATTAGAGGATTTGAGTCTTTTTTAAGTTACTAGTTTCGTAAATGAATAGACCTGATACAACATGACTTTGAAACTAATAAAAAAATACACTATACGATTCGTTTATATACTGATTATACACGATTCACATACGAATTCAATATACCAAGATTCGTTAGACGTGAATTAATAAACGAATCAAATATGAGTGAAGTGCCCTTTACATGTACCCGCTAAGACCCGATACAAATCTGTCTCATCCGACATGATTAACAAGTGTATTCCTTGTGAACAATACAATTATATCTAATGCATTGAAACAAACCTGGGGAGGGGTGTGGCCAAGAAGTTCACGCAGTGGTCTGATCTCAGCCAGAGGATGTTCAGCAGGAAGTTCATATACAATCTGGTTCAAAACCTGAGAAATTCTCCATCATAGATAAATAAATAAATTAAATCCAGAGAGTTCCAGCAGCTACAGTACAACAAGCTTAGCACATCTGTATGCAGCAAAAAAGCCCTACGTGTCAATGTCCATAACCACACCCCTCATACCCTCCTTTTCCCAGCACGCAAACACAGGGACACAAACACAACTATAAGAGAGAGAAAGAGAAAGAGAGAGGGAGCATCAAACCTCCGCCTGCCGTCCAGCTTGTAACCTTACACCAGTTGCATCATACATCACCTNAGAGAAAGAGAGAGGGAGCATCAAACCTCCGCCTGCCGTCCAGCTTGTAACCTTACACCAGTTGCATCATACATCACCTGCCAAAGAGTTTGCACATCAGAAATCTCAACTGCGGTACAAGGTATCAATGGAATACAATAACAAAACTGAGCATTTCTTTCTCCTTCTGCTTCAATAAACTCCTAATGTAAGTATCATAATTTTAAAATGCTGAAGAGTGTACGTGATGATGATCATATCTATCAGCTGAGTGTAGAGAAACAAAGAGCAGCATAAGCTCAAATNCATCATAATTTTAAAATGCTGAAGAGTGTACGTGATGATCATATCTATCAGCTGAGTGTAGAGAAACAAAGAGCAGCATAAGCTCAAATCAAAACAAAGACGACAGCTCAAATAGAGTTACCCTTATGTTTAACAACATAAATGGCATTGACAACCTAATGGTATCAGCAGACTTCAGAGGTTTAACGAGCAACACCAAACCTCATATGAAGTTCTAGACACCATTAAAACTCCACCAAAAAACCCAACCAAGGTATTGAAACTTTCAAATGTCTAGAGATAATGGAAACGATACCAAAAGTTGGACATAGAGAGCAGTTCGAAACGAAATCATACACATATATCGGACTGTTGACCAATGAAAACATGATAAGTATTTAGTAAGAGGAAACTATCAGTACATTTAGCCACAAAGCTCAACTACAAATATGAACATAACAGACCCCTTTCAAAACAGATGCATGCATTGCTGTTGTTACTTAAGAAAAGGCCTGACTCAAACCCAAGCAAATTCTGGAGACCGAATACCACATGACCAGACAGATGATAGAAGCCCAACTTTATGGAGTATGGAATGTCATCTTCTCTTTTTGGCTAGCTTATCAAATATCAACTTACTGAGTATATACCATTCAATCTCCATATCTGTTTTGAGCGTGCAAGTAGTTTCTTCATGCAGAGGTCACTTATCTGGAACTTAACAACCTCCTTAAGTGGCTCACAACCTTCTTCAGGATCAGATATGTGATGTTTGTTTCTTAGTTGGTACAGTGTTACAGAAGAATTCAAATTTTTTCAAAGGGTGACAAAAAAAGTGCTTCAGTTTGTCCAAAAAATACAAACAGATATAAGATATAAGCTAGTTTCTGAAAATATATCGAAGACACAGATACAGTGGAACAGATGTTTATTGCCAAGAGTAAACAGCAATGCACATTGAGATTCTAAGAAACATCAAAGAGACCATTTTTATTAGACACTGTTACATAGTTTTTTTTTTTTCCCTTGAAGAGGTCAGAGTTTTAGTTGTTTCCTACTGTTCTACATAAATGCAGCCAGTCTCATTTTTGGTTTGTTATGCCTTCCAATGTTGAAGTTGAAGCCTATTTTATCAACAGAACTTATAAGCATATCTCATAAATGTCAACATCAACTAATGTGCTAGAGAGAGAGAGAGAGAGGGGGGGGGGCATACATTTTCAATGAATACACGTGATTTGGATAAAACAATAAACCAAAAACAGATTTAGATTCAATTATGAAGATTAAGCCCAATAATACCAAAAAGAAACCAGTGGTATTATCCTGGGCTTTCAATGATCAAAAAGAATGTTGACAATTGACTACCCCAGTTGGATGGATAGGAGTGCTACTAGAAGTACTCAAAATAAACACATTCATGAGAAGTTGGGAGTAGCGATAACTAGGGGAAAATGGGAGAAAATTGGAAAAGATGGTTTGTCCATATTTGAAAACAAAACACAAGACAAAAAGAGTGGCAAAAATAAAAAAGAAGGCAGAGGACAAAAAGAAGGCCAAGATTTCAAAGAAGAAGCTTCCAAAACTAAAACTCTAATCTCCACATAGGAGAATGATAATACCCAAGGATTAATTTTCTTCCTTCATTCTTCCTTTTTTGCATAAATTAGAAGGGTTTCCACAGAAGAAGCATATATATAAACTTGTATACCATATTTACAATGATACTAAACATCTATAAGTAAACCTCAGACTTGCTTCTCCTTTATGGCATCCAACACTGAATTCACAAGTGAGAGAGTTTTCCTTTCTTTACTGAATTTGAGAGGATGGGTGGTTGTACAAGCATTTAAGGGCTTCGATTTTGAGACTAAACTTCAGTGTTGTGCTTGAGCTACAATTTTCGATTCCCCTTGATAGCAACCAGAGAGATCGAACCGACCCCAAAATAGTTGAGAAAAGACAAGCAAAGAAGGAAACCACGTGATGCAAAGTGTACATAACCAGGATTTTAACAAATCACATAAATGCTGGTGTTAATNTAGCAACCAGAGAGATCGAACCGACCCCAAAATAGTTGAGAAAAGACTAGTTGAGTTGAGTTAAGCAAAGAAGGAAACCACATGATGCAAAGTGTACATAACCAGGATTTTAACAAATCACATAAATGCTGGTGTTAATTTTTCTTTATCTGCATTCATTTTATTTAGTTTACTTATTTATTTTTCTGGTCATTCGTACCGACCAGAATACTACAAGATTTCCCAAAAAATATACAATTGAGCAGTTAAATCAAAACAACAAATTGTTAGTGTCATCTAGACTAGAAGACATCCCACTTAACAAAGAAAAATAATTGTAATCATAAAGCATAACCAAAAGTTACCCAAACCAGAAAACTACATACACAAATGGTTGAGAGAAAAGTGCAAGTAAGAAACGAGGTGGTCAATATTTGACAATAATGTACTTAAAAAATTCGCTTGGTAATTCTTAAGAGATTAGGTATTGCTGCATGGTGTTCAGTAAAAGTGTGGGAATAACAACAGTGAGGTTAGGAGTATGAATTTAAGGGTAGGCATGTGCATAATGGCATGATTTAGACATGCACTCAATCCAAATCTCCCAACTTTCTCAATTAATGGAACAACCAGATAATGGCACCATTTCTTAAAAATTAGAAGTATGAATTAAAGATACATAGGTGATGGGACAGTGATACACTTTTCTAATGTTAGACATAGCAAAACACAGGACACATTAAAGTGGATTCAAGGTAATGATGTGATCAGACAATAAAATTTTCAGATAAATGCATTCAGAACTAATATAATCCAGTTTACTTGAGAAACTTTATCAATCGATGAAGAGAGGGATCATACAACACATGCTAAGATAAGTGCTGTTGCGAACAGTGATCCTCCAAATCCCTCTTGCAACCCAATGGCCAACGCAAGCGCAGTGACAGTTGCAGAATGGGATGATGGCATCCCACCAGATCCAATAAGTTGCTTGAGATCCCATCGACTTTCCTTATACCTGTAAATATATGAAAGCTTAAGACTCTTAGGATAAACAATTACAATTCTTAGCTACACCCCACCAAGACAAACTAAAGGATTTCACACAGGGACTGATATATGCCAAGTAGGAGTAGGTACTAAACAAGTCATTGATCCAAATGTAAGCGAATAATTCAGTATTTGCATAAGTTCCCATTTTGGGGGAGGAAAGAAGGTACTAAACAAGTTACTGACACAATTTAAATGAGAATTCAGTAGTTGCACAGAGTTAATTGAGTTAGCAGCAAATTCCAATGTTGAATGGGTCCACTAGATTTTTTTTTTTTTGAGTTAATTGAGTAGTTGCACAGACTTGTTGAATGGGTAAACAAGTTACTAGATTTTTTTTTTTTTTTTGATAGAAAACAAATCACTTTGGCAATTAGGCCTATGTTTTTGAAGGGAAAAAAAAACCCACAGCCCACTGAGTTAACAAATAATAAGCTAATTTCAAGGTTCTAATCAGAAATTCATACACTGCTTGTTACATCAAACCAAAATGAAATCAAGATCCAGTTTTAAGTGATTTAAGGAACTCAAACTATATCATATATATGCATTCATGTGNCCCACAGAAGCTAATTTCAAGGTTCTAATCAGAAATTCATACACTGCTTGTTACATCAAACCAANACCCACAGCCCACTGAGTTAACAAATAATAAGCTAATTTCAAGGTTCTAATCAGAAATTCATACACTGCTTGTTACATCAAACCAAAATGAAATCAAGATCCAGTTTTAAGTGATTTAAGGAACTCAAACTATATCATATATATGCATTCATGTGTGGATAAAGAGAGGGAGTTACCAGGTGGTGAAGACCTTGATTGATTGGGCGAGAGCGAATGCTAAGAAAGCAGAAATGAGAGGATAATTCGTAAATATGGATAACGATGATGGCAACGACNGGAGGGAGTTACCAGGTGGTGAAGACCTTGATTGATTGGGCGAGAGCGAATGCAAAGAAAGCAGAAATGAGAGGATAATTCGTAAATATGGATAACGATGATGGCAACGACGTTGATGATGACTGAATCGAAGGTAATGTTGGCACCAAGTTCCGGATGAACGATCCTTTGGAAGCCGCCAATTCTTCCATCACCCCTATCTCTCTCTCTCTTTCTCTGTCCACCCACAAGAATTACCCAAAACTCGCTCCTTCTCCGTCAATCAATCCGACTCTTGGCTCTAATTCTAGTAATTTTTTCTTTTCAATTCCTAGTTAGCTCAATCCAAGATGTGTAATAGAAACTTTTGGGCATATAAATTTGTATGGAGAGAGAGAGAGAGAGAGAGAGAGGGTGGGAGCTAATTCAACAAGCAACGAGAGCGTTTCAGGTGGCGAGTTTGATAACTAGGAGAGGAAGAGAAGGACGCAGCGTGTTTGACTTTATTACGATAAGTCTACATAATTACTGCTGACCGCGTAGATCAATTACTGAGAAGCTCTTCTCGCCGGAGAACTTTGCGCCTACCAGGCTCGATTCCGCATTAGTCAGAGTTTGTCGTGGCTTTCGGATACCGAATGGCCTGATCAAAAAAAGATAAGTCTACATAATTTATTAACTTAATTATTTATAATTATTGATAGTGAATTATAATACTTTTTAAAATTTATTATTCATCTAATAATTATAATAAATTATGTCAATAAATTAAATTTAAATAATATTATTGTTCTAGATAATATGCATTGATTTATTAATTTATATTAATTTTATAATATAAAATAAGAAAAATTTCAATAAATTCATTCGACGGTCTCAAATAGACTCATCTAACGGTCATAAACATTCCTTTTAAAATCATTCACATTACACCATATCTTTAGACACAAATTATCTCAAATTAATTATAACAATAATAGAGTATTATAGAATAATAAAATAAAATAAAATTATATGTATTATGATCTTATTAAAGGAAAAATGTACGTAGAATAATAAATAAATAAAAAAAATTACTTTTGATGAATCTTATTTTTCTAGTTAGGAAATCATTGAAGTCTAACTTTTTCAACACAATCTCAACTTCTTTTTCATTTGTCGATAAACTCTCGATCCTAATAATTGAAAAATGAATATTTAAACACAGGAATTATTTCTAGAGTAAATATTTGATATAACAATTACACCATATTAACATTATTACATTAGTACCGTCTAATTTAAAACATCACTTTTTTTTATATGCGACGATTATTATCTTGCATAAAAAGATAATTATTTGAATGAGTAAAATTCACATTTTTTTTAATAAATTATTATTAAATAGTTACACCACGTGATAATATTCACCTGGTGTTTATGTTATATGTTTTTGCTATAACATAACTGGGAGTATAACTTTTAAACGTGTCTTGCCATGATCATGTTGCTTTTGCGTGCACAACACTTTCAGCCAGGTCTTCTTGCATTGGTGTCTTGTTCACTGCTATNCAGTAATTTTTTCTTTTCAATTCCTAGTTAGCTCAATCCAAGATGTGTAATAGAAACTTTTGCGCATATAAATTTGTATGGAGAGAGAGAGAGAAAGAAAGAGAAAGGGTGGGAGCTAATTCAACAAGCAACGAGAGCGTTTCAGGTGGCGAGTTTGATAACTAGGAGAGGAAGAGAAGGACCCAGAGAAGAGTTTTCCAGGATTTCTATTGGGTAGAGAGAGAATGACCCTTTGAACTTTAGGCATACATCTCCATCTGCTCGCAGCGTGCTTGACTTTATAACGATAAGTCTACATAATTACTGCTGACCGCGTAGATCAATTACTGAGAGGCTCTTCTCGTTGGAGAACCTTGCGCCTACCAGGCTCGATTCCGCATTAGTCAGAGCTTGTCGTGGCTTTCGGATACCGAATGGCCTGACCAAAAAAAGATAAGTCTACATAATTTATTAACTTAATTATTTATAATTATTGATTGTGAATTATAATACTTTTTAAAATTTATTATTCATCTAATAATTATAATAAATTATGTCAATAAATTAAATCCAAATAATATTATTGTTCTAGATAATATTCATTGATTTATTAATTTATATTAATTCTATAATATAAAATAAAACAGATTTCAATAAATCCATTCGACGGTCTCAAATAGACTCATCTAACGGTCATAAACATTTCTTTTAAAATCATTCACATTGCACCATATTTTTAGGCACGAATTATCTCAAATTAATTATAACAATAATAGAGTATTATAGAATAATAAAATAAAATAAATTTATATTTATTATGATCTTATTAAAGGAAAAATGTACGATAGGATAATAAATAAATAAAAAAGTTACTTTCGATGAATCTTATTTTTCTAGTTAGGAAATCATTGAAGTCTAACTTTTTCAACACAATCTCAACTTCTTTTTCATTTGTCTGAAAACTATCGATCGTCATTGTCATTGTCATTCTAATAATTGAAAAATGAATATTTAAGCACAGGGATTATTACTAGAGTAAATATTTGGTATAACAATTACACTATATTAACATTATTACATTAGTACCGTCTAATTTAAAACATCACTTTTTTTTATATGCGACAATTATTATCTTGCATAAATAGATAATTATTTGAATGAGTAAAATTCACAGTTTTTTAATAAATTATTATTAAATAATTACACCACGTGATAATATTCACGTGGTGTTTATGTTATATGTTTTTGCTATAACATAACTGGGAGTATAACTTTTAAACGTGTCTTGCCATGATCATGTTGCTTCTGCGTGCACAACACTTTCAGCCAGGTCTTCTTGCATTGGTGTCTTGTTCACTGCTATGTTTGGCAAAATCAAAGCTAACAAAATGAAAAACAAATGACCATCCATCATGTTAATGCAGTAACCCTAATTACTACAAAAATAAATCATCAATGTCAATTATTTACAAGGCAATACAACTTCCAGTGACATGAATTGTTCTATAAGATCGTGTGGTATCATAGTTCTTTGCCTTCTATCAAAGAAAGTTGTTGGGGAGGGAGTACAACTCAATCTCGAACAGAACTTTATTATCCGTCATAAGTTAGGACCTGAAATGATCTTTACAAGGTAAAATCAACCCAAGTAATACATTTTGGCTTCGGTGCCACCCAAGCTCTGCAAGAAAATACAAGTACTAAGAAAATCTATCTCCCAGTTTTCNCTTTACAAGGTAAAATCAACCTAAGTAATACATTTTGGCTCGGAGATGCCATTTTCTAATTCGGCGCCACCCAAGCTCTGCAAGAAAATACAAGTACTAAGAAAATCTATCTCCCAGTTTTCAAACAAAACCGGTTGGGTAGAAGCCAACATTAACTTTGGAAGGAGAATGGTGATTGCAATACTCACCTTACCTTCAAACAGAAATCTATATTAGTTGTTACATTCTTCTGTGAATGCAAACAACTAGACTACATGCTTCCCAACAAAAGTCAGGAGCTCTGCCTTGGCTGCTTCCATTACCACTTGGAAGTCTATCTCCTTGTACCTCCCCCTGCCACCCAGAAATGGCGTTTCACTATTAAGAAAGGTTTTTATAGTCTATACCATGGACATGGCACATCAATGCAAAAATTTGGAAGTCAAAACAGCCCCATTAATTAAAAGAATTATTGGGGGCATCTCCATATCACATAGAAATGTAAAGAACAAATTGGCACCACTGTTCCTAACATCACTAGAATTGATAGTTCATGGTTTGTCCAGGATCATTTAGATTTCAAGAAACAGCATGATTTCCAAGTGATACTAACACTCCATATACAATTAACCAGAAATAATTTCACATCTATGTGTTGTTGAAGAACCATGTGTAAGATGTTCTATTCCAAATAGCAAATTATGTTAAACCCTCATGATATAAGTAGTAGTCCAAACAATGCAATTTATACAAACTTTTAAATTAAAATTTGTTCATAAATACCAGAAATGAGTTCTGGACCAAGTTGCAGAAGGAAAAGCTGGACTGGCAATGCCATGCATTATCCTTGCGACAGCTCTGGGGGAAAATTTTGCGTGAGAGTTACTCTGCAGAAAGACCTATAACTCCAAAAAAGAGCAAATATTTTAGCTACATGTATGAATTTCTAGAGCTAAATTTTTTTTTTCCAAGTCTTGAAAACCCTTACGGCCTTACCTTTATATCTGCTTGCAAAAATGGGCTGCAAATATAAATACCACCAAAGTTAGTGCAATTAAATAATGTCGTATTCAGGAAAACCTCCAATAGAAGCAAATGGACAATCTTCACCAGAAACATAAAGGTTGAAAAACTTGTTCGTTTGACTGTGAATTCATAATTAAGATACTCGATATCCATTTAATTCTGCTTCCGGACTCAAGTCTTTCTTTTCTATTATCAATGTGTGTAGTGTATAAAATTTCAAATTTGTGAACCTGCTTAGACCCATTTTATTAGGGACATTGTTGTCACCATCACCGTTGAAGTACTCCGAAATCATCCTTTGCAAGCATGGCGTATGTTTGGAGTTGAAGCAACCCTGCATCTTATCACATGCTTTTAATGCAAAGACTGCAGCATTGAACATTGCATCTATTTTTCGTACCTATGTTAAAAGACAGGTGCATATCATCAGAAGACAGAAAGAACATGCAAAAACAACAATAGTAAGTGTATTAACAACAGAAGAGCCTACAGGCCAATGAATTGGCCATTAATTTCCATGAAGATTCAAAATTTGAGCCNTGTGCATATCATCAGAAGAGAGAAAGAACATGCAAAAACAACAATAGTAAGTGTATTAACAACAGGAGCCTACAGGCCAATGAATTGGCCATTAATTTCCATGAAGATTCAAAATTTGAGCCCACACATTTGTGTTTATGCCAAGGTCCAGTTGGATCAGTTTGTGCTATCTGAACCCTAGGGGGGACTCCAACAAAAGATCACAATAAGCAGCTGCACTTTTCTTGACTTCGACTCCAGCAGAGCAAGACAAGTTCAATTCAGTACTGCATAACTAGGTAATTAGTGATTAGAAATCTTAATGCGTAATGAGTGCTTAGAAATCTTAATATTTCTTTTAGCATAAGCACAACTTTAATGTTGCCAATAGAACAGAACAATTTATACATAGGTGCTGCATGTGGACAGTG